AATGTCAAAAAACTTTTGGTAAATTGTGCGCTACACAAAATTTCTTGGCAGCACATATTTTCGAAAGATCTTATAAACATCTTTTGAATAGCTGAAATTATTTTCTTCAAAATGTTTGGTGTGAAAATAAAGCAAACATTTCAATTCTAAGTCAACCTAATGATCCTACTTTATTTGGTCACATTTCGTTGTGCTTTTGTGTGTTTGCATGAGATATCGTAAGTGTGTCATATACTAGATGTCATAATAGATAAATAATTGTATTTCTGGAAATATTTTTTTGCAGCAATATGTTTATTTTGTTTATTTCAAACATAAACTTTTTAGCCATATGGTATTATTTGTCTTCTTCAAGAATTTTTAATAAACATCTCTGCCATTTGTGAAAAAAGTTGTTTTCTAAAACGAAATTTTCGACAGAATAGGGTTTTGTAAAAAAAATTCAGAAACTTCATTTTCACTCGTCAGCCCTACAGTGAGTGGGTGATGGGTGATTCAAGGTGATGTGAAAATCTCTATGATAGCACAACCTCAACTGGCAGAGCAGAACAATTGTAACGGTAGATTATAGTGAAATTTAATCGCAGAATTATTTATTTTTCGAAGTGATAGAAAAAATTGCAAAAAATCAATTTGCAAAAGTTATCTGTAATCTGTTTATTCTCCATTTTCTTGTCATACTTCCAGTAGAGTTCCACAAAGATCTTACCGTTCCCTTCCCCCTCAGAACTTAATCCATTGTGTCGCAACTGAAGATTCTCGCAGATTGCACCCCATATAATATCCTGCTTACTTCCCAATTTAAAGTGCATGATTGTTTATAATGCCATGCAATGAAGGATTATATTTATTAGATGGTTGGACACAGGAAGCCCTGGACCTTGGGTTTCATGTTTGTTGGCAGTCACTAGTCAGCAAGGCATATCTTCAGCCTTGAAGGAATTTATTTACCCTCTGAGATTCGAATCTGTGTCATTTAGTGCTGTAATCAGAAACGCTATCACCAAGCTATTTGATTTGATACTAGTAAATAGCTAGTGTAATAAGTTTAGTCTTTTGTTTGGTGAAAACCAGATTCTATCAGTCAAGTTTGCAATGTGAATTGTTGATATTAGGTGGTTGGGGGCGATTAGCATGAAGCCTTGGACCTAGGTTTCGTGATAATTGGCACTCGTCAGCAAACAAAGGTCTAGACACATTACACTAGTTACTCTAACTAGTATCCAGTCACAACAGGGTTGATGTTGAACTGGTTGTGCTGTCCGAGTTGGATGAAGAGATAATTGTGCCATTCACAGAGAGTTCATCTATGTCCACTTCATAGTGAAGTTTTCGCTCAAGCTATTATCTAGAAAGACAGTGAAAGTTTCGTACTTAGGGGACACAGTAAAGAGAATACAAGCACATCAAAATACTGATTCACGACACACAATAACATTCAGTGAGACACAGCAACACAAGGTAAATAATCCAAACAAATTAACGTAAAATATGAATACTCATGATAGTAAAGAATGAAATGATAGTGGCCAAATTGAAACCATTAATTTAGATGGAGGAACTAGAAAATGCCTGAAGTCATGAAACCCTGTGCCTGTTGATGTGATTGTCATTTTTCAGTTTACCACGCCTGACATTCTCACGTAATGTGAACAGGTTTTTTAACACCGCTTTGTGTATTTTAAGGTGTCTGTACATTTATTCTTTTCCCTCATTTATAATAGTGCATTGATCTTACTGGAATTTTCATCTTATCGCATTTTTCTTCCCCTTAAATACGCCTCTATAACAAACAAATTCTTTATAACCATTGCCGATATTATCATGAATTGAAACATTTCTAGTATTTTGCTAATTTCATTATCATTATTTTTTAAATTTTATTTATTTGATTATCACCGATTCTTTGTTATCAAACACACCTGTTGGTTGTTGAATGTTCTACCTAGAGTAACGCAACTGACTTTTAATTCCCTACGTTTCTGTTATCCCCTTAAGCATGTTTTCGCTCTCTGTCTGATCTATTAATAACCCAATATCATGCCTTACCCAGTCTCCTTCCTTGTATGCATTTCGAACATCCAACACATTTCGCTGATGTTTCCAAATTTAACGGATTCTTCAATACCTAAGTAGGTTACATGGTTGAAAAGGAATTGTCTTCCGTTTGATGGTCATAATGTTGCTTTCTGTTATACTTCAGTCATACTTTATCCTGTATAGCTGTTAAGTTACTGAAACGTTAGTATTTCACTGAGTCTATAATAAAATATCCCGCCATAGTTTGTAATCTGCGAAATACCAAGGCACTGTATGACATACAGTAACGTGTGTAATTGAACAGAAAGCCAAAACAGCCTTGAGATGTCATTCAGCCCGAAATACAAAATTGCTGCTAAGTTGTGAACTGTTCACCTTTAGAGGTGCATCAGCAATAATGCAACACCAATCATGAACATACAGGAACTGTTTATTGTTATTAACGTCTAAAACAACGCGACAGATTAAAAAGCCATGTAATTACTCATATAATTATTAGATCGGTTTAAAATTGGACTAAGTTTCTGCACATATCTTAACCTAACCCATAGTTTTCTTTGTCTTACATCTTAACTTTAAAGAATATGATTCTAGGATATATACATTCTCAGATTTTAGAGCTAGAACCTAGTGTAACCAAAGAGTGTCTCAAGAAATTTTATCCGAAATGAAGATTCTCATCTTTGAGATTAGTAATGCGATTGATTGAGTGCTGGAATTCAAGCAAGATTCATAAATTTGCTCGCTGGCAGCTGTATCAAATTCTTGAACAATGCAAAAACAACAAAGTGAACAGGATAACACAACGTCAATTTATCTGGTTTTTTCTTATCAGCTGCAAGCAACTCAAGAAAGTTACTGTTTCAAAACTAAAACGTTTGCATAATCTAACTAAACAGTTACATGATATCAACTACTATTATTACGCGATAGAGTAAACTAGTAGTTAAAAGGAAAGAAAGACACGTGTAAGTAAGCTTATTAAGATATGTGTATAAAAGGTACATGAATGTTCCAGGCTAGAAAGCGGGATCTGAATGTTAATTAGGTGTGTAAAACGAATAATAATAACAATAAGGATAATAATGAAATAAGAGGTATGTATTACGAAAGAGTCGTAAGAATAAAGGGGACAGCAATTTTCAACCTGATATGAAAGATTAATGTAAACCACAGGGGTATAGAGATAAAATATTCAAGGATTAGAAACACATTCATTGAGTATGTGACTCAGTTTGTCACACCTTTCTTTGTTAGGCGCTATTGTACATATTACAGAACTATTTTTCCAATCTCCTATTATTCTACTCCATTATACCTGTGGGCTTTAATATCAAGTTGAAAATTATTGTTCCCTTTAATCTTAGTGCTCCTACGTAACATGTGCTTCTTATTCCATTATTATTCGTTCGCTTTTGAGCCTGGAGCATTCATGTGACTTTTCCATACATTCCAACAAGCTTATTGATACGTGTATTCCTTGACATTTGAAATACTCGTGTATTCCACTAAGTAATCATAGTGTAGAACTTGGGTACTGTGGCAGAATGTAATTTCATATTAGATAAGTTTATTTTAAATATGATGCAGTGATACAGTACTAACAACTTGACGACGTTTTGAGCATAAATTATTGCTAATAGTCATATCAATTTACTCACGGTTTCATAATTTATCTTATATATGTATTTTCTCTCCCTTTCTTCTTGTTATATACTGCATTTCCCCAGATCTTTTTTGTGGTCGTTGCACCATTTCATTTGCACATGTGCGGTGTTGAACCAATAAACAGAGATTCAGTGATTAGCCACTCCCTCTCTACACATAACTTTTACTTTTTAATACCTTCACTGTGTTCCACCCAATTTTGTGATTACATGTGATTGAATGCCATGCAATAGCTGACCTTTTTTCTAGGTTATTTAACTTAGCAGGGTCACTCATTCTAGCTCTAGCTAAATTTTCATATTCCAATAATCTAATTGACCCAGATCTAGTAGTTTGACATGAGTAATTGATTTGACAATCATTTCATGGTATTCGGTTAATCATATTAATTTTTCTAATTAGATCAGTCGGGTCCTTAAGCAAACAAAGTTTATCTCTGAGTGAGCTGGATGGTTTAAATGCCACCATGACTAATTCTAGCCTCTCTGGAAATCCTGCTTAAGGCCTCTGATGTTCCTTTTTTAAACTGTATCACTGTGTGTTATTTCAAATAAATTTCTAACTATTTAGCTTTTAATTTTTACATGGTAACTGAGTTAAGCTGCTTGCAGTTAATAATAACAAACGAAACAAATTCACATCGTGTTATTCTGAACAGTTTGCTTTGTTCAAGTTCATCCGGGGACTGAATTGTATAATGCATCAAAGTCTTTTGGGGAATTTTTCCACAACAAGGATATTTAATAACCTCAGTCAAAAGTGTAAACTGTTCTATTTCAATATCTCAGAAATACAGCCTTCACAGACAGTAAAAAGCTTCTGTCTCACTAGTTTGTATCAATGAAATTCGAAATACTTGGAGAAATTTGTTTAATTATCTGTATTGCACGTTTCTCTGATTACTTCCTCATATTAAACTGATCTTTCTTTCTGTGGTTAAGATGTACAAAGCATGACCTGACAGCTGACCTTATAAAATGTCGCGCTGCCTCTAAACTCTGACACGCATACATAGGCGTCATGAATACTAAGCTAAATTTGGAATACAACTGATATTTTTACATCTGAAACCGTAAAAGTTCGAATAAGCCTACAAAACCTGCGTGCAGCTGTATGGAAGAGATTCGAACACAGACGTTAAGTCGCCATTTTTTTTTCTATTAACTGATGAATTCGTGAATAACAACTATTTAAAGAGGCGATGAAAAATATTAACAGTCGCAGAAAAAGTGGTAAATAACAACTTTATATAATTTAAAAAAAGACAGAGACAACAACAAAAAGAAACTTACATTACTTTGATACGTATTCTGTTTTGGTGCAGTAACTCGATCAGTTCTTCTCGTGAACACACTGTTTCAAAATTAATAAGAAAACACAAACATGTGATGTTTGTTATGTTTATTAATTGGCGTGACATGTATCACAAACAAGTCTGTAAAAACTGTCTAATCCTCTTGGGAGAGAAAAACACATTCCTAATAATAATATTAACAACATGAAATTAATTTTTGAGAACAACAAAAAGCAGACAGTTGAAAATATCACACTATGCAGAGTTTCCTTTAATTAATGGGAAGTAGTCCAGAGATCTAATTTAAAAGAAACACAGAACGAAATTGTATATACATGCAATTACTGTTTTTTTAACATGTATTAGCCAACCTTGTATAATTTTCTAGGTGGTCAGTTAAATCCAGTAAAGTTTAACCATTATTATTTTCCAGGAGTTTGTCTGTGGAGATTTGATTTGTTCCAGGTTTGATCACGGATTGTGATCAATCGGAGAAACACTGTGAGCCAACAAGGAATACTTGACATCTGTCTTCTCCTATTATGGGACTCATAGGTGGTAGACATCCCGCCACAGGGGGGTTCGAACTCACAATCATGTGTTTACAAATCAAACTTGTGGACTATTGGGTCACTGGGACCTGAATCAATGACCAGCTTCTAACTTCTAACAATTAATGGTTTTAGCTTTGTAATGGTTTAAGAGCCTCCCTTGTAATCTGAAGGTTGTGAGTTTGAACTTCTGTGGTGAGTGTGTACCGACGATAAGTCCCAAACTAGGAAGAAAAAGATGTTCACCACTCCCTGGTGGTTTTCACTGATACTTTGATCAGAATGAATCAATGACCAATCTTATAAACATTTTTATGCATAAAATCACAAAATTTGAACTTTGGAGTAAAACTAAGTCCCTCAAAGTTGCTTTTAACTTCTGGCTACTTAATGGTTACATTTACTAAATTAGTATTCACGATTCTTTGCCCAAAAGTTCTGCATTACCAATACAGGCGTATCAGTGCCAGACATTGTGCATTCTAGATCACTGTATAATCTTTTCAAGTCAAGTATGTTCTATCATCTCCATTCAACGGCTTCATGACAATGCCACGTGTCATGTGGTCAACAAGGGAAATTTCATTGCAGCCGAAGAAGTGAAGACAGGAGTAATAGAAGACTGCTTACCATAATCGATGATGAATCTAACTGTAATGCACAAGATTACGCTGCAGGCAGGGAGAAACGATCAGACAGGGATAGGTTAGGCTGATAAGAAGTTTCTAGGAGAACTGAGTTTTGCAGATGATTTGTGTCTAGTGCCACACAAACTCGAAGATTCACAGGGGAAGACCAAAGCGTAGGTTGAAGAGCCAACCACGAAAGATGAGACTTCAAGAGAACGTAGACAAGACGAAAGTAATCGAGATAACCAACCAACACATTACCACCAACGACAACCAATCACCAACAACGAAAGGACTTTGAAAGATTTCACTTCCTTCACTTATCCATGCAGCATTCTTTAAACTACAAACACGTCACGCAGGTGCAAGGAAACACAAGACAGATTTCCATGACTCCAAAATCACTGTGGAAATACTCTCCACTCAGAATGAAGAACGAAATACGGATTTCCAACACCAGTGTTAAGCCAGCCACTTCTTCTTTACTTGTCTCAGCATTGACAGGCGGGTCAAGAGAAGCATTTAAAACAAGCCGCTAAAGAGTCTTGCCAACAAACGCCTTCACCGGTTGGCTACGCACTGGAGATCACATGTCCGCCCGACTAGCCGATCAGCCAGACAGAAAAAATTAACAGCGGGAAACTGCCTAAGCTAACCAGTCATGGACAGCCTGCCCAACATATACTTTGAAGGGAATGCAGGGGGATCGGACACACAAGGATGAAACTGTCCAATGACATTGCTCACTAATTCATTGCTCAAATGAAATTTGAATGGAAAACGACGAGTCAGGCGTGTGTGCGAGGGTGGAACGTAGGCGTTAGTGTGAGGAGAAGATGAGCGCTTATGTGAAATCGTGGGACTAGTGAGGGAGGCTTGTAGGGGACATGACAAAGTGGAGATAGGTTGTTACAATCCAATGTTCCACTCAGAACCCGAAGGAACAGTAATAATAGTAGCCAAATATTCTATGGTTCCATTATAGATAAGATTTATTTTGATAAATCGCACAGTGTTTACAGTTATATCAGTTATATCAGTTCATATAACTGTAAACACTGTGCGATTTATCAAAATAAAATCTTATCTATAATGGAATTATACTCTACCACAGTGCCCAAGTTTTATAGTTATATCAAATATTCTATGGAATTATAGTCAGCCTCATTGTTACCATGCAAATTAATTTTAGCAGGAAAAAGCTGCAAGTATTCTTTGATTTCGGCTGACTATTTTGAAAGACCTACTGATTCAATGAGTTTATAAACACAGCGAAATCAACAAGAACTATGACAGCTTATTGAAAACAAAATTTTTCCAACCATTTGTAGCATGCTTTAACGTCTAATTCTGGTAGAACAAGATTCAGGTGATATGATGCAATGTGGAAATCAATAACGTGTATTGTCAGAATTTTACTTAACAGTCTGTTTTCTGAAGCACTTGATAATCGTTTACAATTCCTGTGACAATAATATCATTTACTATGATACAAAGTTCACTGGATTGGTTAGCGTTGAAACGACATGCGGTTCCTAGGTTCCCTGTTAATTGCTACTGATTTCATTCCTCGCTTTCTTGGGCGTCCGGTTGTGCAGCAATAAAGAAGTCGTGGGAGAGCTTTAAAAGTGTCCATCTTTCAATAGCTGCACCACTTAAGTTAATCATTTGTCATTACAGATACACAATAGCTAAACATAGTGTTATATATAATTTTGTAGACGTTTTCCTGAACATAATTTGCCACAATCCCTTTTTAATAAGTTTCATGTCTTCTGAAATCGTATGCACTATTAACAATAGATTCCTTTGTATTTGACTAGCTGACGTATTTGAAATCAGTAATCATCCTACTGGCTGAGTACAATCACCTACGAACACGGAAAGTTAATCTGTGCTGAATGCATAACCTTGGATGCATAGTTTATGTTGTGTTTTTCTATGAATATCCATGCAAATATCCGCATTTAGGTTAAGATGATTTCAACCACTACCACACCTACTTCAGCCCAGGTATCTCCATAGTATCACTAGCCCCAAGATGATATTGAGAATGAGTCACAGCCTGATACAGACAAGATCTCTTCCAAATAATTTGCTTCAAACTTCAGGATTTGGCTATGAATGGATGCTAAGTATGTACAAAATTTCATTGCTTATGGGAAATATAGTCCTGTTATTACAAGTGATGTAATTAATTCTTGTGATACAAATGCGAACGCTAGAATCCTTGACAAAATGATATAACGTATTAACGAAGATAATGATTTAAAGATTGTTTTAGTGGGACAATTATCTTATTTATCTTAAGGGAATTGAATTCGGTCTAAAATTAGAATTGATGACATTTGACCTGTAATTCATTAATATAGAAATTTTTGTATTTCCCTATGAATGAAAAACAAAACCACAAATTTTTTACTGACGTTCCGCTATTTAATGCTGCTGATAGCTTTATCAAATTATTATTAAACAAGAATTTACAAAATCTCACTTTATGTATAACAACTTGATCATCGTTCATTAGCATAGGATAATTTGTAGGTTGTCAAGCTGGTTTTTTCCTCCACGTTCCCAGTGGAACATAGGGCTTCAGGCTAGTGGCTTGAAGTTTCATTAGCAGTGTTTAATTTTACAGTATGAGGTTGCTAGCCTCATGCCCGACCTTTCCTCTTTACCAGCATTATTTCTGGCTTAGCGAGGTAAAGGTGTTCGTCGGGCGAGGATCGAACCCCGGACCATGTGCGTGGTCGGCGAGCGTCCTAACCGCTTTGCCACCGATGCACCAAGTTGGTTTAGAAGTAAATAACTCCCCGAAATTATTAGCCTACAGCATTCATCACTCAACACCAGATGATGACCTTTGCTGTAAAAATCGACTAGCTTACCTGAAGGCTCGCCATCGAGCATCCACGCTATTTGGCACAGCTTCGTGTTGCGACTGTTCGTTCGTATAACAACTTTAGCTAGTTACAAAATCATTCTCGCAATACGCTTTTAATCCCAAAATATGTTTCTTATTTTACACGATCAACTTGACATTTTGATTAGCCTTCGGTCTATGCAGAACAAATAATGTGGGAGTTGTAAGTACAAAAACATGCGTTAGTATACGTCGTACTTTCCGTAAACATCAACACTGCCTCGTCTTCTAAACTGGTCAACCCGACGTATATAAACCATCGGACAGACCTATCAAGAAATCAAACTCGGAAGGATGGAACATATTATAGCGTTTTTTCAACACTGAGAAATCCACCTTGCATTAGAAAATTCATCAGCTATAGAATCAGGCCAGAAAATTGATTTTGAGAATATTGAAACAATTCAGAAACATTTCAGAAATCACAAAGATTGGCTAATATCAGAAGCACTTCATATAAAATGGAATTCCAAATATCTGAATAGGAATGATGGACTAAGACGGAATTAAAGCTGATTGCAACACGCCCTTCTCATGAGACTGCATAGTCAACACAAATGTGATAAACAATTACATGATGTAAACACATGCTGTTTTTATAATGTCATACGCTTATCTAATCCGACAATCTACACATGGCTCTGTTATCTTTACCAATTAATTGACCAACTTAACAAAATACAAATTATCCTATATTGATGAATGGTGATTAAGTTAATATAAATAAACTGAGATTTTGTAAATTCTGGTTTAATAATAATTTGATAGTGCTATTATTAGCATTAAATAGCGGAACGTCAGTAAAAACAATATGGTTTTGTTTTTCATTCAATCGGGAATACAAAAACTCTTATAATAATGAATATCATATATCCAATGCTACATTTTTTCAAACTATTATAGATGAACTTGGTTTGACAACATAAAATTCACGTGTAAGCACAAAATTGGTAGCT